GGCAAGACGTGGCAATATGAGGGACGCAGCCCGACCCTCCTGGCAGACTTTACGTCGCCCTATGGCTTTTTTTGCGGGCTGCGCCAGAGCAAGCTAGAAACAACACCTTCAACAGACATAAAGAACATAACTAAAAAACAAAATTAAAATTAAAATCCCTACTGCAAGCTTGTTATTATTAATCTTCTCCGTCATTTTCCCGGAAAATTTTTTCAGTCTTTTAAAATCATTTAAAATATCATATATATTAAAAGCATAATTTTTCTTAAACTCGTTCCTGATATCAGTATTTACATGTTTCCACATAATACTCTGCAGTGCCCGGTTCTTTACAGATATCACAGAGGTCACTCTTGTAATTTAAACCTTTTAAAATAGAAAGGAAAATGGCCATGACCTGTAATGATTTGGTTAATGTCAATGTCCTGAATAACATAAACCTTGTTTAACAAATTTCATATAACCTTTATTTCGATCAGACCTTTCCCACTTCTCTCTCCATTTATTATAAATATCATTTTTCATAATAGTCACAGCTTTCCTTGTTGATTCCTGTACATCAATATCACGAGCATTAACATCGGTAATTGCCTCCTTGGCCTGTGCGGTCCGCCCTCTCATTTCCAAAATGTCCAACGTGTGCCTTCACTCAATTAAGCACAATATTTTGATCTTCTCTCAAGTCTTTATATAATTCTCTATATCTACTATTAAGGGTTGTCTTGATCAGGTCGTGAGAGAATTGAAGAACTGTCGAATAAATAGTATAGCATATTCTCTTTAAAAGTCTTCCTAATCCTTTCAGTGAATAAAAATAGCCATACTTCCGCTTGATAAACTGAGTTAAATATTGAGTTTAAATTTATTATTCTCAATCTCTGTTCCATATAATATATAACATATGCGAAAGCAATGGCGTCTCCCAGACCTGACCCGTCTGTATAAATGTCAATTTCTCCTATTTTTGGAGGCATCCAAATAATACGGAAAAAAATTCTTTCAGCAGGGTGAATCAAATTTTTCAAACGCACCGTGTTACAATAGAATCTCCTATAATTTTAAAATCTATATTTCCTGTTCTTAAACGAAATTTACCATAATAAAAACAAATAGTTTGGAGATAGAGGGCACACACGGCCAGGATACAGACAACCTCAGTAGAGGTCGTTCTGAAACATCTCGTCAGCATTAGTAACCAAACTCTCTGCATTATGTCCAGTTTCATACGAAGTCTAACCAGCTCCTCCGCCCTACAACCCCATGCGCCTATGCCATACATAATTCGAGGAATCACAACAGTCTCGTAGATTGACCTTATTATGGCATTTTTCATAGACAGAATTTCACTGGGGAAGTTCCTCCTGTAATAATTTAAAATATATTCTGTTTTTTTATGAAATGATATTATATAAAATATGAAATAAAATTCAATTTATCATCCACTATTACGCCAAGATATTTAATTTCTTTTCTAAACTTTATTCTTTGATTCTTGTATTTCAACCTTGGTTCTCTTGTCTGCTTTCCTGCACGGGGAAAGAACACAGCGTTTGTCTTTTGAATATCGAACATTAATCCTTCTTTTCCTTCCCAATCCTCTAATTCCAGAACTATTTCGTTAAAATATTCTTCGATTATTTCCAAAGATTTACCTTTTATAAGCACCAGAAGGTCATCAGCATAGGCTACCAAACGTATATACTTAGGAAAATGTCTGTTCAATAAATCATTTACATGAGGTTCCAATACAGAGGAGCAACTAGAAGACCCCTGAGGGCAACCTTGCTAATCAATATTATAGATTGAATATCTTCATTCTCATACTCAATCTTCCTTTTATTAAAATAATCTATATAATGTTTAAATATTCCTTGGTATCTTCAATTCAAGTAACTTGACAAGGAGTGACGGCCAACGAATAGAGTCGAATGCACCATAACATCAAAGAGACCGCCACCAATGATCTATCTTTTTATTATCTCTTATAAAATAATACATAATATAATCATGATCTCCGCCCGGCAGAAAAACATATTGATTAGAAGACAAGGTCTTCGTTTTTATATATATTGTAGCGATTTGCAATCAATTTGTACAGCACATTTCCTATCACCTTTAAGAGACATACTGGCCTCATTCTATCATTGCTTTTAGGTATGAGAACTAGTTTTGCAATTTTCCAAACCTCAGAAAAGAGACCATGTAACAAAGAATTATTGTATAAATGCTGGAAAAGCTAGAATAAAACTCAAACATCTTTACTATGCCCGCATGTATACCGTCCAAACCAGGGGAGCTTCTTGTACGAAGCTGTGTAATAACCGTCCGAATCTCATTCAGCATGAATTCTTTATCATCGGCATTACATTCATTTATTATTTCTAAGATTAAATCAAAATTATTTCGTATAGGGATAACAGTTACCAAGATCTCATCTAAAATTTCCCTTTTCACATGCTTTATATTTTCTTCTGGATTACCATCAGGCCTTTTAACATTATTCCTCTTTTTACCTTTTGAGTTGTGTGTTTAAAAAACCCATCATAATAACAATTACTTTTCAAAAAGTAATTTAATTTACTTTCAGATTTTGATTTCTTAATTAATTTTTTATACATTGCTAATTCTCTCTTATAGCAGATCCTTCTATGAATTCTAATTTCTTCCAAAATGCATCTCATCTGATAGAATTTTCTTAATGACCGAACTCTTCTCTTCAAACTAGTTAACTCTGGCGACCACCAAGAGATTTTATTATCCTGTCTTTTTTTGAAACGAAGCAATTTATTTGTATGCAATACAAGATCTTTCTCCATCTCCAAAATAATTTCATCCAACTGGGACTTAGTACCAGCCCTTATAATTCTCTTCTGAGAACTCATAATCTTACTTTTCATTTTTACACAAATCTCTTGATACGAATTGGATTCCTCATAATAGTACAGGAACTAGTTTCTCTATATACAATTCCATCCGCATCTAAAATAAAATATTTATGGTCACTAAGAGTCAATTCATCTGAAATAATAAAAATTATAATCTGGAACACTTATATTTGAAGAGCTGATCACCAAGTCAGTATATCCAACTCCAACTGTAGATAAAAAAGTAAGGGCAAATTAAAATTATTGAATAATAAAAGATTTCTGTATAAAATAAAGTCGTTCACCAAAACTCCTCTCGCATCAACCGATGCAGCTCCCCAAGTAAAATGCTTTGCATTAAATCTCCAAAATAAAAATTTTTGTATATAATTTAAAATAGCATCCTATTCAAAGAGATATAAATTTATATCTTCTGCTGGGGAAAATAAACCCAAACCGAAATCCTATGATCTTTAACATATATAGGTGATGACATCTAAAGATAACCACAAAAATCAATATCCGGATTAACGGCAATAATGGCCGACCTCCCACCAGTTGATGAACAACTCTCCATTCTATTACTTTGCAAGGGCCGTCCTCAATGCAGTATGGTTCTGAATCAAAATAACGTCTGGGTCTGGTCAAAATTTCATCAATTGCAGAGAGCTGTATGGCAGCTGCTTAACAATGATTCAAATTAATGCTTAAAAACCTCATTAAATAAAACATAAAAACTGTATCCAATAAAATCCTAAAATTAATTTAATTTAAAAATCGTGTAATAGTAAATTCTCTCCTAAAACCAATATAAATTAAAATTTATTAAGCCAGGAAAAATTAAAGCAGAAACAAATCCGCAGTAAAATTTGTACAGTGAAACTCAAGTATGCATCCCGCGACGAGAATCAGTAAAACTAACATATCAGGACCCATAGTTAAAAACTCATAAGTTCATAAATTCATATGTTCCGTAATATATTTTATTTATCTCTTAAAAACTGGACATTCCTTAGAAAAAGCTTCGTGCCCATCATCTATATTCATTTTATTCCTTGAGTTAAAATTTTTATAGTTAATACATTTCTTAAATTTACCTTTACAGTCTTTGGCTCAATGAGGACCTGAACAGGTAAAACAAACAGTTTCATTTTTGGCAGAAGCGTTTAACATCGCCAAAACGAAGACAATTTGTACGTTTCTTCGGTTGAACAAACAGTTTGGCAGGGTAAGACTTCCACCCTACCGTAACTCTCTCATTTTGCAAAATCTGGGCTTGACAGATTTTATCCACATGAAAAACTCGATGAGAAGTAAGCTCCTTTCTATTTTTACCTGTATGAAAAAGAAATCTAACACATCCTCCATCACAAGAACAGTCTTGTTTCAAACTTTCTAAAAATTTTTCATTTTCAACCTCCAGCGAAACATTATAAATAATAATTTTCGGTTTTTCTACTAATCTGTTAAGGGATGATTTGTTCTCAATAGCTCTTTCTAATTTCTTCGATTCCTCCACATCTTTTAATCTAACAACAATTTTTCCGTTCTTTTTTTTTTTTTTTTTTTTTTTTTTTTTTGAAAAGAATCCACCATTTTAATTCCAAGATCCTTTGGCCGAATAGAGCTTGAGATTTCATCAAACACATCAATATCAGTAGTTTTTGCCTTAATAATCAACTCTGCGTCTCTATTTATATCATCGTTATCTTTTTTAACAATTTCGCTTTTCGATCTAAGTACGTTTTTCCTTGTTCTCTTAACATCCAGAGAATCTGCAGGATCAGTCGTCGAAGTCCCGTAGAGGCTCATGCACGCATTCAAAGAACCGCGCACTCGGTGTGCGGAATGCGCTTTATGCTAGGGGTTCTCTCATTTTGAAACCTCGGCACGTCGGGTGTTATAGGGCCGGGATATGACGCGTGGCTTATATACAAGATCTGTGGTTGATATACTCATGCCAGCGTATGTAACATAGTGCTCCAACAATTTTGCAAAGACTACCATGATGATTTTTTTGGCAGACTAAGGATGATTCAAACTCCCCCAAAATTGTAGTGGATGCGAAACAGATGTATATATTTTTATACATGAGTTATTCATTTTATAAATTAATATTGTTAATAGGATACTTACCAAGGATGTTGTGAGACAGAGTACAAGTGTGTTGGGGCCAGTCCATTGTTTGAGCTAAAGCTGATTTTAATCTCTTCGAATCTGCTACTCTCCCTAGGAAAACATATGAATAAAAATATTATTCTTAAGTGATCAGTAATCTCTGCGTTTACGATTTGCTAACACTAAATAATACTTTCGTTAGAAATAAAACTTCTGAAATCATCTAAATTTTCCACAGTTCCACATATTTTGTACATTGATTAATGTTACTGTTTTTCATTTGAAAAACTATTCAAATTTGTTACTGCTATCAATGGTTCTTTTTTCTCACTTGCATTCTTTTAATATTTTTCAACAACTTGCTTTCGATATATGGATTTTTTAGGAGGGTTCATTAATTTTTTACGGTAAATTGCCAAAAAAAGTAACCATATTGGAGCCCTACAAGGTCAGACTGAGGCCCTAGGTGAAGAGTTCTTTCAGGGGTCTTGTACACTTCTTTCCTCGTTTTTACGAGGGAAAAGCAAGATTATGGGTAATTATAAGATAATTTTGAGACCCCTAAAGTTTGTGATAATCAGGCCATGAACTAGCCAAGTTCCCTGATCTTTTGAGTCGGTATGCATGGAGAAGAATTAAAATTTTTCGATTGTTCTGTTTCCTGACATGGAAATTAAATAAAATTAAATTTTATTAGCTTTATAAAGCTCACAAAAATATCTCGCAGAAATACTATGCTAATTTCAACTGTTCCCTGTTGAAAAACTGTTCCTTGTTCGAATAAATACTTGCTTTCTTTCTGGTGTGTATACCTATGTATGGCGATATATAATTTTAAATTGAAATGCATTAAAGACATACTAGCTTTTGCATGCTCTTCATGTATGAAATTAATAATCTAATGCAGTAAAGTTGGTTATATTCAAGATATCTCAGCATGCCTTATTACTTTTCGTCCATTCCTATTAAATTTTTTATTTACCTTCTAAATAATATTAATTTTATTGTGACAGCATTTTCTGTCGTATTAGCGCAAGTTACATTTTTGTCATGCATTCTTTTTAATGCAAACGGATATTAAATAATATCCACGGGTACTTACACAAAGCAACTTCACAAAAGTCATCTTTACGGTAAGCAGTCATTAAGCAGTCACCGTCCGAAGACCAATCTACTTGTAAAATTGGCCATTCATTCTAGACCGGAGGGAAAAGAGATAATTCAATAAACTGTATCAAAAGTCACAAATAAAATTAAACACTGACCTTTGTGGAATTAATTTTGAAGTAGCATTTACAGATATGTTATGGTATGGTAATAAAAAACTGTTAATTAAAATTCGTGCTTTAAAAATTGAAAAAGAAATGATTCTGAATTCGAAGGAAGAGAAAAAAAAGGTTGGACCAAGTAGATTTATAAGAAATTTTATAAAGAATATTTATTATTCAGATAGTCTAAATATAGTTTAATCGATTCTCTGTGTAAAGTTAAGTACTGTTTACATTTAATCTAAACATTGCAGGAAGACTAACGTGTAGACTGTCAGAAGAATTCTCATCTCATCTTTATCTCATTATCGTAATCGTACAGTTTTACAATCATCATATCATAATCATACAGTTTTTTACTTGAATGTTGGGAAAGAAAGCGGGAAAGGCTGTGATACTGATCTTTATATGGACACGCAGTTAAGATATAAGGTATTTGTCCCACATTCTTGACGTGCCTTGGTAGTGTAGTGGATCTGCACGCTGGGCCGGTATTCCAGTGGTCCGTGGTTCGATTCCCGGCGAAGGCGTTTGCTAATTTTCCATCTCTCTTGCTTCCAAAAAATACCTAATGTCTCTACAAAGATTATCGAAGATATTATCTTAATAACATAATATAACAAACTCGTTCAACTACTGAAACTACGCGAAGTGGCCAACTTGCCTATTATTACGACACTCACGAGTTTTTTCGCTGAAGCATCTTTAGCGGGTTAGGAGAAAACTTTGCATAAATATTAAAATTTTGCATATTTGAGCTACAAGATGTCACGTGATTGAAATTATGTTTGAAAGTCTGCTTTATTTAGTATATAAAATCGAAGTCATGCGTGTGTTCATTTCTAAAGTTATTTAGTCGTGCAGTCTCTTCAAAGATCTTTTAGACTGCAAAAACAAACATATTTGTTTGGATGCTTTCTCATTTCCATTCAAAAGGAAGTTATTTTATGATTGATAAATCTTTTATAAACATCTTTATCGCTTATTTAAATTACTAAAAAATAACACGATATTTCTCACAAAAACCGTATACGAAGAATCTGTCTAGTCAGTAACTTTAAAAAGAAAAACAAAAAAACAGGTATTGAAGGCATGCGAAGTAAATTAATTAGTAAGAAGTATTTTAATGCTTAGATTACCTTCAGTACCGTGTGCATCTTGTAAAGGTAACCATGGTTTTTGGATTCGCAAATATATATATTTCCGTCTTCACAGCCTATTGCCAGTGAGGTTGCATCTGAAAATCAAAAAATGTCTTCCTTATTAATCAACGCAAATGTAAGCAAACTTTAAATGCAAACAAAAAAATGCTCCTGCAAAATTCGGATCCATAGCACTTTTAAAAACAATATCCCTTTTCTATCAAAGAAAGAATGAAAGAAGTTAATTGAATAAAATCAGTTTTGAAAACCTTTGGCTGTTATTCCGAAGGAACCATCATGGCAATAGGGGCAGAATTGAAGACAAGTTTTTGTGTATTCTCAAGACCGAGAGGCAATGTTTTACGTATCTTCCGCCGCCAATCCTTTGGGAAATTCAGTTATTATTTTCCGGAGCTTTTCGTTGTAAACAATAAAGGACTTTTCATAACTAAAATGATTTTTCGGAAGTTCTATTCTGTATTTTAGAATGAATAATTTATTTAAAATCTGTGTCAACGCTTAGTTAATTTACAATTGGTTAACCTCTCATGGATCTCTAGTAATAATAATAGGTAATAAAAGATGAAATGATAAAGCATAATTACAATAATATATTGCTACTGCTAAATAATTAAAAATAAAATTACATGTATATATCATAAAATCCATATATACTCAATATTATTTCAATTTATTTATTTTTTATTATTATATTCGAATAACTTAAAGTAACGGTGATTCTTAAATCCACATTAAATATTCCACTTAGTTAATATTGATAAGTTATTATCTCACATGTTATTTCTAATCGCTAACGTATTTAAAAGTGATGTTTTATTTCAGCTGCCGAAAATAATTCAATGCATTTACCTTAGGAAAATTTTAATTTTATTTTTTGACGCTCGTGTTTTTTACATTGTGTGCTAACTTTTAAATTAATTAAATTAGGCAGTGCTGAAGAGAAAGGAACATTCTGTTATTGCTACGGATTTCTCTCTAAATTAGTAACAGTATTATTTGTTCTCAACATGCTGTTCTTGTGCTTACCGTGGTAATACGAGGGACGAAGTCCGCTGTTAGATCTACGTAGACAGTTAAAAACGCTAGGAAAGAGGAGTAACATTAGAAAAGGATTAAGGAGAATACATTAAGAGAAAAATCTATCAACAACCTGCAGTTATGTTCCCATATCTGGTGATGAAATATTTGCGGTTTCATTTACCCGCGGCTCAGAGTGGTAGAAGAAAAAAAATGATTGCTGTAAATTTTGTAAGCTTAGACAAGCAGCAGAAAAGAGTGTAGTTAAGCCGATGTAACAGTCTTATACAAGCTCAATATTGTCTTAGTTCACAAGTCATACGTTCATTTCGGGCCAATGTTACTAAATACGGGGAACAGAAATGTTCATAATGGAGTCTTAAGTGCAGCGTGAGATTACAGAAAATCCTCACAGATTTTGACCTCATGCATCAACATGGCGGTCATAAATATTTTGGCAGAGAATTTAGGCTATTAGGGCTCACCAACTATTTGACTTATCATTTTCTCCATGGCCAGTTTTTAAATTTTCTCCCATTTTTGCCTTCTAACATTCCCTTTGTTCTGATTAGCAACACGCTGTTGCAGCTTTTTTGTTCTTTAGGAGTCTTATTTGCCACAATAAGGCCCTCAAAACATGAGTCTAATGATGCTACAAATGTTGAAAACTACTAGCGTGCTATTTAGTGCTAGTTAAAACAGTATGTACAGTACACGAACTGCTATTCGCCATTTCTCAGTCGTTGTTTGCTAATTAAATTAAAATGTCTGAATTTTTAAATTTTATAGGTATGATCATATCTATAAGTACAATCTCTCTCCAGAGCATATTTTAGTATACAATATATATTACTATAACTCATTTAAACAAATCACCAACTTTATTTTGGCGTATATTTTAAACAAAATTCTTTCGATTTGTGGGCAAGCACACATAGGTCTCTCTTCTTCAGAAGCAAAAAGAATTCTGAGAATAATGGGTAGTTCAGATAATATGAATTATTTTGAAAATTTTGAAATGATGCGTGTTTGAGCATTAGTTTCTGCTAACAACAAATTTTGACAACGGTACCAAATAACTAATCGTATACTCTTACTCTGACAGTAAGCATTTTACTCTGACAATAAGCACAGATACAATCATTTTACAATTTATATATGAAAATATTTGTGCTAAACAAATGTGTTATGTAATAGAAAATCTGGCTAGCTGCTAGATTATCGAGTTGCATGCGAACATTGTTACTTCAAGTTAGCTGCCAATGGCAACACCATTAATCGCTTGAGCACAACTGTATTATAAAATACTTTTTTGTTTGTATTTAGAATGCTTTAAATATCAATATTTTGTATTAAAGAAGGTGAAAATACTTTTAATCCGTGTTGGTTCTCTCTCTCTCTTTTTTTTTTTTTTTTTTTTTTTTTTTTATTCTATCCGCTAAAATATTTTAGGGCACTTGCTGATAGACTAATTTTATTTAAAAAATAATGCGTTTTATTATGCATAAATTCCGTGTTTTAAATATTATTTATGACTTTAAAATAATAAATTTATGACTTAAAATATAAATTTATTTATGACTTAATTTAATATTATTTATGACTATAAAATAATAAAAATGAATTTAATTTTGCATTTTTATTTGAAATAAAAATTTTATTGTTTATATTTTATCGAATTTTATGTTGTGAATGATGTAATGAATGACGTCACAAAATATTTTAAAAGTAATTGGTTTTAATATCTATAAACTTAATTTAATGTTTTAAACATTATTTATGGCTGTTAAATATTAAAAGACAATTTAATTTTGCATTTTTTTAAATATGATTTTATTATGAATGATTATTTAAATAATTTTAATTCTATGCGTGATGTAATCAGCTCCCTGTTTGGTTACTGAATATTTGTGCATTACCGCGCCATTTTAAAATTTTATTATTCATCTCTTCGAATTCCTCACATTTCAAAGCGAATGGATGTGTCCGTTTCGAATATGAATGTTGTTATTGGTAATTACCAAGAATTATTGGTATCGGAATAAAAAAATTTGCCGTTTGAGACCTTATTTTGGCCAACCTTGCTTTCCTAATCAAAGATTTATTTATAAATTGTTAATAGCGTCAGAGGAAATTTATTTTAAATTTTTGGAGAAAACCTGGCTAACTGCTTCTTCAATGAAGTGTGAGAGATGTATTAGATAAAGATTATTAGCGGACTTTTTTATGGTACTTATTATGAATATACGAAAAGTTAAAAAATGTAAGTACATAATTTTCTTTTACTTCATAATTGTATACTTCAATTTTTATTAAAGAATTAATACGTTTTCAAAAATTCCTGAGATATTATTGCCGCATATGTTTTAATGTTAAATAATTAAATCCTATAAAATTATTTTAAAGTATTTAAGTAATAATTGTAAACGCAACGTATTAATTTTATTTAAAATGTATTTTCCCGATTGGCAACAACAGTTTTTTTCAGAACGATAATATTTTTGAACTGTATGTTTTTGAGCAGTAATGTTGACGGTAAGGTTTCTGAATAAAGCAAGTATTTAACAATTAATGTTAGACGGAATGGTTTTTAATAAAGGAACTAATTAAATGCTAACATTTCAGAAGTGGGATAACTAGAATTATTATCTAGATTTAACAACGTATTGCCTTAACGTACGCTAAGCCTAAACTGAATGCGGAAGCTCGCCAAAACTGAAAGTAGAAAGGTACGTGAATTTATAAACTGTTTATGTTATGTCTAAGTATTAAACGGAAAGAACTTAAGTATAATTATTGTATAGTATTTGAAAATTGAAGTCTAAGATGGCTTATTTGGCAAGAGGCAAAAAATGTGATTTAAAAGAAACTTGCTTTGGAACTTGATGTAGATGTCCCTTCTGATATTAAAATTGTAGGCTTAAGAGATATGATTTTGAATAGTAAGAACTATAACGAAGACTTTACTAAACAAATGCTAGGTAGAATTATAAATGATCATTTAGACGGGGTAAGTTAGAAATTTTAGAAAAAATAAGCAAAAGAGCATTTGAAAGAAATTAAGAAAAAATAAGCAAAGAGCTTTTGAAATGGAAATTATAGAAAGAGATAAGCAAAGAACCTTTGAACTTGAAAAATTGAAAATAGAAGCGGAAATCAGAAGTAGATAATGTAAATTGATTCTGTTTCCTTCTAATGTTAGTAGAAGTAATATTTGTTGATATGAGTAAATTAATTGCATAAGTATGATTTGAATGAAGGTGGATATAAGTTTTTTATTTAGTTTTTATTTGAGAGACAAAGGCACGACGTATTGGGTTAGAAGAACAAAACTGGGTTTTCTCAGCTTGTTGGGTCTGCTGGCTTATGAAATAACTCAATTAATTGCTCGTGAATCAGAAGAAGAAAGCTAACCGACTATAAGCACGTTAAACAACTACTATTGAGAAAATTTAAGTTAAGCCCTGAACAGTTTCGGCAAAAGTTCGTTAATCACATTAAAACGTTGCGTAATACGTGGAGAGATTTCACGTTTGAATTAAAAAATAATTTTGAAGAGTGGTCTTGCTGGATTAAATGTAACAGATTTTGACTCTTTAAAACAACTTATTATTACTGATCAATTAAAGAAGAGGGTCCCCGCTGCTATCCGAGACCATTTCATTGATGATTGGTCTAAATTCATTAATACTGAAGAAACTTAATTAAACTAAAATTAATCCTGAAGTTGGCTGAAAAACTAGATGAATATGAAAATATTCGGGCAGGGATAAAAGTACTTCAAGTAGAAAATAAAACTTTTAGGCATAATTTTAAGCCCAAATCTGGTTCTAAATTTTATGAAGGATCCTATAATCAGTATTCAAGACAAAGAAATGGTTAAAGATTCCATGCAGACAGATGGTAATTTCAAAGTGGATTTTAAAAACAGTTTTGATATAATACAATCTGAGAGATAAATTTTATAAAATAGACGAAAGGAAAAGGGAAATAATCCTGGGCAATGGCATCCGCCATGAAAGGGTGAGCCGAAATGCTTCAATTGTAATGATTATGGACATATAGCGACGGATTGTCCTCAGCCTAAAAAAGAAATTATTTACAGGAAATGTAATGAAAAGGGTCATACTTTTAAAAAGTGTACGTCTAAGAATCCAGACTTGACAAATGTTAAAAATTATTTATCCGTGGACCAGAATCAGGTGTGTTCACCAGCTGTATATTTAAAGTATGCTCGCATCAATAATGGAGAAGAATTACTGCAATCATAGATACGGGTTCTAGTTCATGTTTATTGAGACAGTCTGCGGCTAAGAAGACTGAATCTTATTGTAAAACCTTGATGTGGATTAATTGTTTGGCTTTGGGAACCAGAAGTAAACCAGCCTGCTAGAACATTGGGAAAAGTAACTGTTGACTTAGAGATTGATAAGGTGGAAGGAAAGGACATTACAGTTCTAATTCGTAGGAATGAAACACAACCTATGCGACTTATTAGTTGGTCGAACATGGATTGATTTACCCGCATATTGCATACACCAAGATAGGTAATACCTTGCACATACGTTATGCTAACGATTGTCCATTTTCACAGTTGCAAAGTGATAGCAACACTCCGCAAATTAAACTGAAGGCTTCCTAAGAAACTCAAATCGAAAGTAATACGCTTAATTTCATGAAAGTTCAAACTGATGAACTAAATAATGGATAATAATGTTTTAAAAAAGTGGATCGGAAGATGAGTTGGGACTCATTATTGGAAGTAATTACAGGGAGAAACAGTGATACCAGTCACTAACTACACGAGATGAAAAGGCAGCAACTCTGGACATGATGGAAAGTTTGAAAATACAAATACTGTAAAAGTCACTAATTCCAAAGGTAAAAATCACTGAAAAGGAAAGGGACTTCAAAGAAAATCGTTAAACAGAATACAAGTAAGAAAATAAGTCTCCTAAAGAAGAAGCTAGAAATGATGGCATCAATGATATTAAAGAATGTAAGCCTATTCAAGAAAAGCATTATAATCAAAAGCTTAAGAAATATAGTAATAAGTGGTAAAATTACAGCACTTGAGAAAGAGTTTAATACAGGGAAAGAAAAATTTACAAAAAAGAACTGTAATAGATAATTTTTTTGGCGGGTGAAGAAACAAATTAAAAGGAAATAGGTTTGTTGAGAAACAAAACAAAAGACACCGGAGAAAGATCTTGAAAAAAGAAATAAACCTCGGGAAGATGTAAATCCATCTGCAAACAATCTAAGATAAATGGGAATAGACAGATATCCTAAGAAAGTATTACTGGTTAAAAAGAGAGCATCTAAAAAGGAAGAAGTTAAAGAAGAGAATTGAAGATTGCAGTGAAATGAACAGCAAATTATGACAAGAAGAAAGTAATTCTTTAACATTCGAAACGAGGAAAATAGTAGTTATGAGAAGAGTACCTAAATCAACTGGAGAATCAACCAAAACACAACAAAAGTATCGAGGACCTTTGGTAGTTACAGAAGTTTTGGTGCTACTTTGGTAGACGGATTTTGGCGAGTTTTTGGCAATTTTTCTTTTGGCGAGTAATACGACTTATGGTAAACCCATTGCTGGATAAGTTATTTATGGTAACCGATACTTTGTTGACATTTTATTTAAAAAATAATGCGTGTTATTATGCATAAATTCCGTGTTTTAAATATTATTTATGGCTTCTAATATTAAAATAAATTTTTAATTTTTTTTCATTTTTATTTGAAATAAAAATTTTATTCTTTATCATATTTTATGAAATTTTATGCTGTGGATGATGTAATCAGTGACGTCACCTTACTTTAAAAGTAATTGGTTTTAATATCTATAAATTTAATCTAATGTTTTAAACATTATTTATGGCTGTTAAATATTAAAATACAATTTAATTTTGCATTTCTTTTTTAAAATGATTTTATTATGTATGATTATTTAAATAATTTTAATTCTAGGCGTGATGTAATCAGCTCTCTGATTGGTTATAGAATATTTGTGCATCAATGAGCTGTAATCAGCTCCCTGATAGGTTGCTGAAAATTTGTGCATTACTGCGCCGTTTTAAACTTTAATTCATATCTTCGAATTCCTTCAAAAATGTCTCCTTCAAAGATGAATGTTTTTTTTGATAAGTACCAAGAATTATTGGTATCGGAATCAAAAAATTGTCCTTTGAGTCCTTATTTTGGCCAGCCTGGCTTTCCTAATCAAAATATTTATTTATAAATTCTTACAAGGGTCAGAGGAAATTTATTTTAAAAATTTTGGAGGAAACTTCGCTAATTGCTTCTTTCAATGAAGTGCGAAAATGTAATATCACAGATGAAGATCGTTAGAAGAGCCGATTCTGACGAACGGCCGTATATGATATTGTGGTCATGTTGGAAGAAATAACCGCTGTAACGGTAAGGAAAATTATTAGACATTTTTTACCGACATTTTTTGCCTCCCTTTTTTTACCGAACAATAAACTAATTGCTGTCATTTTAGCTCTACTGTACGAAGTGTTCTTATTTACTTATTTTAAAGTATTTAAGTCATATTTTAATTCTTTTAAACGTTGGTATGATGGTTTTTAATTCGATATTCAATTTATGTAATTTTTAATCCAATTAAACGTTTGGCGCAATGTTTTATAGTGGTATTTTATTCTATTTCTATGCTATATGAAGTAATAATTTAACCTTTCTTTAGTATTTTATAATCGTAGTAAATGTATTTTATTCTATATAATATATATATTATATATTATATTATATATAACGTATTTTAAAGTATTTAAATTTAATATATTCTAAATTCTTTTAAATGTTGGATTATGTTTTTTATTTTCATATTCAATTTCAGTAATATTTAATCTAATTAAACGTTGGCACAATGTTTTTATAGCGGTGTTTTTATTGTCTGCTATATGAAAGTAATAAAACCTTACTTTATATTTTTACTCATAGTAAATGTATTATTTACACTTGCCTGCATCTAAAAAACGACATTTTCAACAAAAAATTAATCCATTATTTCAACGATATTTATTTTTATTTATTTATTTTTTTTTTTTAAGTTCGAATACTTACTAGCGTAAAACAGCGTTTTTTTCAAGATGGCTGACGTTTGTAGAAATCGCGCCAACATGCGCCAACGTAAATCGCCAAAATCCTTGCAAAAGTATCGAGGACCTTTGGTAGTTACAGAAGTTTTGCAAAGTGATACCTACAGAGTGACTCAATTAGAAGAGAAGGTGAAAGGACGTGTCTTTAGTATGACAGCTCATGTGAGACAATTAAAGGCATGGCAGTGTCAAACTGAATCAGAGAAGGACGATGATGATGGTGATGACATAAGTGTTGCTGGGGATAACGATAACAACACGTTGCATATTACTCAAACTAGGACATGGAAAAAGTCTAGAAAATAACGGTGAAACTATATAACAGTTAAAGACTTTCGAACTTTAGATTTTAATATTACAGATTTAATTTTTTGCAGGTATAAGTTCTTAATGTTCCGAGGTCGTAACTAAGTCAGGATGCCCGAATGTAACGCAACGTATTAATTTTATTTAAAATGTATTTTCCCGATGGCAACAACATTTTTTCAGAACGATAATATTTTTTGAAATGTATGTTTTTGAGCAGTAATGTTGACGGTAACGTTTCTGAATAAGCAAGTATTAACATTAATGTTTGACGGAATGTGTTTTTAATAAAGGAACTAATTAAATGCTAACATATTTTAATTCTTTTAACGTTGGTATGATGTTTTTAATTCGATATTCAATTTAAGTAAATTTTAATCCAATAAATGTTGCGCAATGTTTTTATAGCGGTGTTTTTATTCTATTATATGAAAATATTTAACCTACTTTAGCATTTTAAAGTCTAGTAAATGTATTTATTTACATTTGCAAGCCATCTTAAAAACAACGTTTTCAACAAAAATTAATCCATTATTTTTAACGATATTTATGTATATATATATATATATATATATATTTTTAAGTTTCGAATACTTTACTATATGCGTAAAATACGTAAAAACAGCATTTTCAAGATGGCTGACGACTGTAAAAACCGCGCCAACAATAGCGCCAATGTAAATCGCCAAAAATTCGTGCAACCGTCTACCAAAGTAGTACCCCGAGGACACATCAAAAGCTATATAAACCCTCCTGTAGCAAAATTTTGTACATTAAATTTATCAGGAGTTGTAAAGAATGAAAGCTAGTGTTCTTGCTAGGTTACTCTATGACAGTGGCTTCCTTCTTGCGAGAGTACTCATCTAGTTAATTTAACAGTCGTTTCAGAATGTATGAACTGCTTTATATTATCTTTTGATATTACTTTACTCAATCAAAAATTAGGAAAACATAACTAAATTTAAGAAAGCTTAGCTGTATGTGGTCCAGACAAATGAACGTATTTCAGATATCTTGGATAAGTTGTTCGATATTTGGAATTCCAGATATCTGGACTCCAAATAATTGGAATCGAGATATCTTGAAATTAATTTTACTGTTGTGTTCCAAAGAATGTTTACCTGCATCATAAGCGAGGGCTTTGAGGGCTGCATCTGCCACTGATATTGTTGCCACAACTAGCCCTCCCTCGGCATGCAGTACTAACAACTTTCCATTTGAGCCACCAACTGTTATCGCTAGACCTTCGGGATGGTAACCAACGCAACAGCAATCTACCTGAAAAATTAAACTAATTACTATTATGACACACTCTCTTAGTTATAGTATTCATAAACAGATTAAACTGTGATCATTTAAATCTTTCATGTTGGTAGTTTATTTGACTTAATTATGAGAAACAGTACTATTGTCTTTCAACCATTCAGTTTTCTTAAGTGTGTTTCTTTTACCACTGAAAGAACTGTCCGGAGTTCACACTTTTGGGTTTTTTACTTCCTGAGCATGGAATATTAATATTCTTTCTACCTAAGCCGATGATACACAGTGACAACGTCAGCGCTATCCCCGGATAAAAAATTTTAATTTTTTGCAGCTTTTATTTTACATGCCTTTCCCAACTTGCTTTTAAATATTTAACCCCACGATCTAGAGAGATATTATATACAGGGTGTCTCAGTACCACGTTTCAGAACTTATAGGAGGGGTAGAATGCACCCCAGCGACTCGGAATCATATGACAGTGCAGGATATGAAAGGCTTTTCTGAAGCGGTAGAAGGCGTTGCGCGAAAGTTCCCAGAGTTCTTGCAAGGAATTGTTATTTCGTGTAAGGACGCAGGGTTAATAGGATGAATAATTATACGAATGCGAAGTTAACCGATATACATTTGACATATGGGGCTGCAGATTGTAGTGAACCAGCCGCACAGCACTTGTACCCGAAACGATATCCTATGAGACATACACCCAGTCATAATTTCTTTACAAGGCTGCACCATGAGGTTTGCTGAAACAGGTTCCTTTTAAAGAGCTGCCATGAATCGGGCACGATCAGCATGGACTTCGGACATCGAAGAGAATGTGCTACACTAGACACAGGGAATTCCAAGTTTGGGTATGCGAAGTGTAGCGCACGCAATCGGGGTTTCCCGTTCCAAGATCTGGAGGATTATCAGAGAAAACGAAATGCATCCGTATCACGTGCAACGTATCTAGGCAGTTCAACCGGGCGGTTATGCGCCTCGTAATTCTTTTGCACAATAGTACCTTAAAAAGTGTGCTACATATCAGACTTCCCTGCTACTTTGTTGTTCACTGACGAGGCTTTCTTCACAAGTGAACGAATATTCAACGCACATAACTCCCATCTATGGGCGGTATAAAACTCTCATGCAACTCGACGTCGTGCAGCGCAGAGTCAGTTTTCGGTTAATGTTTGGGCCGGCATTGTGAGGGATCACTTCATTGGACCTCAGCTCTTGCCTTTTCATCTAACCGGTTATAACTACTTGATCTTTCTACAGCAAGCCTTGCCCCCAATTTTTAGATGACAAACAGATTTCTGCATCGAAGATACAGATAACGTGGTTCCAACACGATGGGGACCCTGCCCATTTCATCCATAATGTTCCTGCCCACATAGATGTCAGATTTGGCCAACACGTGGATCGGACGTGTGATCCGGTGCTTTGGCCTGCTCGATCACCAAAGGAACCTGCTCGATCTTTCCATGTCTCGATTTCGTTTTATGGGGCATATGAAGACACTGGTTTATGACACTCCCGTTGACAACGCCGAGAAGCTGGTTGCAAGAATCGCAGTAGCTGCCCTGAAAGTTAGAGATATGCCTGGAATATTTCAAAATATTCGGAATTCCATGCGCCGTAGATGTGAGGGATGCATTGAAGTCGGTGGTCGAAACTTCGAACGCTATTTTTGATTCATGCTACTTTTGTTCATATAAATTTGTCACTAAAACGAATATTAACTTACCTGGAGTCTTTTATTTTCTGATATTTCTGTCTACACCAGAGCGTCAGGAAAGCATTTCCAACCCTGCATTGCTATATATAACTCCAAATTATCGGGGTGTACCCTATCCCTGCTACAAGTTCTGAAACGTGGTACTGAGACACCCCGTATAAAGGGCTCTGTAGAGAACCATAATTGCCTGACAAAATGCGTGCCGGTTATTTAAATATATGTTCTTCAGAGCAAAATGTTTTTTTCCACGGTGCCAGCAACGCGTGGTATCACTAGATAAGGCGATCCAGCCTCGAAAATGACTAGGAAATTGAGAGCTGGCTCATATTCAAGTTTTGAAAGGAGCATTGACTTGTATTCACGATAACATATTTGAAAACCACGAAAACCCTTATGTAACTAGCCCGTCCTTTGAGCTTTAACTTCAAGCTGAACAACTGCCGATATTAAGCGGTTTTATCTACCCGGTCATCGGTGATGAGATTCTTAATGATCATACGAAATTGAATTAAGAAGAGAATTACTTTTACACTAGACAGAATGTTAAAAGAAATCGCAATGGATGTCAACGGCATCATGTTTTTGCCACGCATTCTTTATTGCATCGAAACTTTTGAAAGAAAAAGACCAATATTAATTAAACTATAACCACAATAACATAAATAAGGCAAACGTCGTCTTTTATTTCTCCTACTGCTTGAAGGTGAAATACAAAGGTGTGGTCGCTTTAAACTTCTGCAGTTTGTTTTAAAATACATTCTCCATATGGTAGTTTCAAATATTTTAATGCTACTGTGAATGTTACTCACAATTATTGTAAGTATTACTTGTTATAAAAGGAAACATGTTTAAATTAAATTCGATTAAGAAACTTCTAAATCTTGAAATTGCTCATCTTGCGTTTAAGAAATCATATTGTACAATCTACAGAGCAGCAGCTGAGGTGAACAAACATTTAGAATGTCCTCTATGATTTTGCTCCACGAACTAGCAAAATAGTACTTTAATATTTTAGAATTAAAGTTTCATTTTAAAAACAAATAAGGAGTTTTTATTTACTTTCTTTCACTTTTGTATATAATTCGACATTTTATGGATTTTACTGAGCACTGAGATAGGGGGGACTTAAAGCATCCCGGGCGGAAAAAACTCAAAGTATGCCACTGCCAGTAGCACATAAAGTATACAGGGTTTATTTCGTGGGACAAACTTGGAGGGGTGGTGGAGCGTACTAAAACATGCATGTTTTGTACAGGAATGTAGGGTCTAAAGTGACGGGTTAAGGCAGAAACAAAACAAAAAAAAAAAAAACCGACACGGGAGGAAAGTGTGTTTATTTACAAAATCAACGCAAAGTTCTTCTTTGCAGCAATACAGTATTCACAATAAATGTTCAAAAAAAGGAACACTAACAGTAATAGGAACTACAGCTGTGATTGGCTGGCAATGCAGTGGTAGAGGGCGGTAGTGAGCCGGACAAACCACGATCCGATGCATCAGAGGATCATTCGCAACTCTGATGTCGAGCGTGATGGGTGAGTTTACGCACAGGGAAAAAGCTGACATGCATCTCATGTATGGTGCTACTAATGGGAACGGCAGAGCAGCGCTACGGTTCTACCTGGAACGGTTCCGAACAGGCGTATGCCGAAGCAACCAATGTTCGGGAGGTTACATCGGTCTCTGTGTGAAAACGGGTCATTTGAAGCCACCTTTGACACTAGAAGAAGTGCACGACAACCTCGCACTGAAGAATCCATCTTGAACATTGTCCATGAATCACCTCAGACAAGTACAAGAGCTATTGCACGTCGTCTGCAGCTGAGTCACTCCACCGTTTGGAGAGTATTACATGAAAATGGTTTGCACCCTACCATTTGCAGAGAGTCCAAGCTTTGCAAGAGACAGATTACCTTTTCGAGTTCATTTCTGTCATTGGTTCTTGCAGCAGTGTGCGCTGCAGGCAGATTTCCCATCGGATGTGCTATTCACGGACGAGGCAACTTTCTCACAGGACGGCATCTTCAATAGCCGCAATATGCACGTGTGGGCAACTCATAAGGCCACACGGCACACATCCACATACATTCCAAACCCGCTTCTCCGTGAATGTGTGGGCGGGTATTGTTAACGACTACCTCATAGGCCCATACCTCTTACCTGCACGTACAAATGGCTTATGTTATCATATTTTTCTGCAAGAGGTGCTACCGGAATTGCTGCAGGATGTTCCGGCTGTCGTTCGTGATCGCATGTGGTTTCAGCATGATGGGCACCAACCCATAACCACGTGTGCGTCCGCAATTACTTGGACGGGACATTTCCGGGCCGATGGATTGGCCGTGGTGGACCCGTTCGATAGCCACCCCGTTCGCTAGATTTTCTTATGGGGCCATCTGAAGAGCATCATTTACGAGACTCCTGTTGACTTACTGGAGGACTTCGTTGCACGACTATAGATTGCGGTTGCACGCGTGCTCTCTCATGCGTACTTTTGTGATATAAGAGTTTATTATATCCAAACTACTTTAGAATATCCGTGGTTCGAATTTAGGCGAAGGCACAATTAATTTCTCTCTCTTTTTTCACTGGCTCCTAAAAATACAATAGTCTCTTCCAATGATACAATATTTGATACCCATTTCTTGCTTATACAGTGAAATTTATGGGGTTGTCAGGCGTAAAAAGCAGATACAAAACCCTGTATGCGTTGATTAGTCAATTTTTTTAATCATATTATTTGGATAAATTTATGAAAATGACAGCGATTTCTGCAATTATGACGAAAACATTTTTTTTTTTTTTTTGTTTTATTTGCAGTGGCTAGTTTGGCGACTATTAATATTTTGAAGGGATTAAATATAAAGAGATTTAACCTTCTTAGCTATCATACAGTTAGCGTGATCTTACGAGGGAACCTGGCGATTTCTCGCGCAGGCTTAAAATAATACCAGCACAGAAAAAAGATAAAAATAACTCTTTATTATTCATCAATACAAATGATGAACACAAATGTATGTATTTCGTGCTTACGATAACACCGACGACTTGCGATGGAACTTAAGAATCGTTACACCATAAATTGAAAGATAAAGAATAGTGCTGGTCTAACAATTTAACTGGCTAACTAAGCTGACTCAACAACCTACCCGGCGATGTACTTATTAAATGGCCAAAAAGGCGTGTCAGAAACTCAGCGTAACAGCAAAAACAAACTAGTAGCTTGCGCTGACTAGCGAAATCACACTCTGAATAAACTACAAAATTCGTTCGTTTAAATACTCACTTCACTTAACTTTAAATTTGCTTCCTGGTGAAGAAATGCGAGGGGAAAATGAGAGGTTCAGGAAAGGTACTCAACTTAAAATAATTTGTAATGCAAAATAAGGGAAACCCTACAAACTTTCTGCACAATAAATAAATAAATATATAAAATAATTTTGCATTAAATATTGAATTAAGAGAAGTGTCAAATGCTGTATGTGACACTGTTGTGTATTTAACCTGAGGCCTTGTTTTCCAAAGCAGATTGCGAACTGTCCATCTACAAACACAGTGTGACCGATCCACCGACACAAAAGTCATTCCTTCCGAATCGACAGCCAGGTCCAAGCAATCTGATTCCAAGCCCTGAAATTTGAAAAAATATTTTAATAATAAAGAGGATTATGGTTTTAGTAAAATTTCAAATTTTTTTTTAAATTCTCATAAAAATCGTATTAATTTATATGAGGCAGTAATTAAATAGCTTTTGATTATCAGAGTTTAGAAGAACAGGGGTTCTTTATTCTGTATACTCTCGATCTCCAGTGTGTTTTTTGCTTCTCAGTAATACGTTTTCCCATAATCTATTCTTTTGATTTTTTTATTTATAATCAAAACCTTTATTCAGTTCATAAATACATAACGCATTCTTTTGAACTATAAACAGATTCTTTATTAACCTATCAGGAATTTTCTCCTTGCTTGACTAAGTGCATCCGTGGTGTAATTGACAGCACTTCCGGCCAGCAGTCGAAAAATCTAGAACTCGAATCCCGGTGAGAGCGTAGTTGAAATTTTCGTATTTCCCTCTTCCAAAACCCAAGTGGCGTTCCAAAACCAAGTTCTACAAGTGGCGCGAGACTAAAAATGTCTCGGGTGATATTTCATTACCACCTGGAGTCTCCTCTTTTCCCAGTTGCTCTTTAAATAGGAGAGAATATGAGGAACTTTTTCCTTTCTCATTGGATGCCTTCATGATGCAATTATTGCACATCCGGATAGTAATTGGAAGATAATTTTTTCTACGAAAGGGGAAAGAATATTCAAGGTATAATAGCAGTGACAGCAGATGTTGTCTGTGAGATAAAGTCAAAAACACAAAAATAAACACAAAAAAATCTATTCTATATTTTTAACACCAGCTTGAGCTCAACGATATTGCTCCTGTTCTCTTGTAAATGACGTTCTTTATCATTATTTATAACGTACTTTCTTCATCTGTCTTGATCTGTATACTTCCGCTATTTACAATGTGTTCTTTCTAGTTTTATGTACTGATTTAATGCATATAATCTAATATGCGTTAAATGAGTATATACAGTGAAATACGTTTAACGCGAAAACATTTAAAACGAAATATCCGTTAACACGAAATAATACAACGGCTCCGACAAACTATTATGTATTTTCATGCATTTTGTTTCTCTTAACACGAAACAAAAATCGCTTAACACGAAAAGATATCCCTTTTGGGAATGAACAAAATGCGGAAAACACTTGCCTCACAGGCGAGATTTAAGCTGGATGTGAAATGAAAGAGAGGTGGTTTCACATCTTTCGTAGAAAGTAGGCTAACTTGGCTTTGAAATACCCTCGGAATAGCCTGTGATACGAGCCAGTTTTGTTTATCTAACAGGGTTCGTAGCGGTCCTAATTGCTTATAAGTCCTTATATTTGAAAATAAAATATAAAGGCCCTTATAGGAGCTTACTTTTTCTTTAAAGCCCTTATTTTTTTGTTTTTAGTGCTTATTTTTTGCTTTTAGTGCTTTTTTTTTTTTTTTTTAATGAACGCGCTATTTTTCCCCGTAGCAAAGCCGAAACTAAATAAACAACTTTTCTTCCTAATATGGAATGTCAGATGGTGAATCATACTCCCGGAAATAGCTTTTTCCCCTATCTCTACATTAACATAACCTTTGGTGTGCACGAAGAGTACAGACAGGTGCCCGTCGTTCTATTGGTCAAAGAATTGCGAATGCAGTAGAAAATTCCGGTACATTCGGCTTTTTTTTCCTCCCACCCAAATACTACACACGTTTGAATTTCTATCAAGATCTTAATAATTTGCGTTCTCGTTGTGATATCTGGCGACTGTTTGGCGATCAATAGAGCATGCTTGGCGCAGGTAGCTCTTCTTCGAGAAGGGTTAATGTATTTATTAGGAGTTGCTGTTAGCCTCGGAAGAGGAAGGTAGTAGATTGTACTATGCGGTAGGAGCGACGTACTGCTCTGAGTAACTATTATATTATGCTTTGAATTATATATTTAATAAATGTTTGTTTCGTCTTGCTAAATGGTGCCTTATTAAACCATGAAGTCATCACAACACGCTCTCTTTCGAGAACCAGAGAGGTTAGAAGCTTAGAGCGTTGAAAACGGAAGAGGCGTAAAGTTAAGCCTAACTAACGAAAGAAGTGTTCATTTGCAAAAGAGAGTAGAAACGTGAGAATTATTTAATCGAGAGTTTGAAAGGCTTGATTCTAAAGGAAAATAGAAGAAAATGTTCAAAAACGCAAAGAAAGAGGATTTAGTAACAGTTCTATTGGAAATTGGCGAAGAAGCATCCCCAGATTTGAAGCTGGTAGAACTGAAACACAAACTCCAGAATAGCAAGGAATACATCGAAGATGCTGATTTCGTGAAAGAAATTCTGATTACTACAGTGGAGAATAGAAAAAGAAAAGAAGAAATGGAAAAAATGCAAATGGAAGAAGAAAGAATAAGAACAGAAAGAGAACACGAAATAGAACTAGCGAAGATTCGAGCAACTCAAAATGAAGGAAGTAGAAGTCCAACACCTTTAATACAAAACACAGAACGAGAAACCGAAATTTCCCTGGACAAGCTGATCAAAGGAGTAGAAACACTGACTACACCAGTACCGAAGAGAGCAGAAGAATGGAATATATTTTTCGATTCTATCGAAAGAGCATTTAAGCACAAGAAGGTTCCTGAAGAATACAAATCAGAAATATTATTGAAATTAATTGGAGAAAAAGCTTCAAATGTTCTTGTTTATATAAAGGAGGAAGATCTGCAAAATTACGAAAAAGTGAAAACTCTTGTTCTGAAGGAATATCAACCTACTCTTCAAACCTGTTTAGAAAACTTCAGAAAAACTAAACGTTATTCCGGCGAAACGCATATCCAGTTCGCTTCAAGACTAACAGCTACATGGGACTATTACTGCAAGTCAAGAGAAGTAAAGGATTTCGAAACACTCAAGGAGTTAATTATTTCCGATAAATTATTCCAAGCATTAGATGAAGAAAAACAGCTGCACACGTCGCAATACGCCAAGGAAATAAATGGCTGAAGCCTCAAGAATTAGCTACAGAATGTGATATTTATTTCACGGCCAAAGGAAAATCTTTCGACGAAGTTCGAAATGGAATTAAGCGATCACCGAGATTCCTGGATACAACATGTGCACACGACAAATATATTCCACCACCCATGAGAAAAGAATATTCCAAAACACGAAAGATTTCACGCGAGAAGAAAAGAATGTTATATTTGTGGAAATTATCAACACATCGCAAGAGATTGCCCAGACAAAAGAAGAAAGAACGAAACTGCAGTAAATAGGGAAGGGAAAGGATGATTCCAAAACTCAAAAAAAATTCAAACAGAACATCAAAAAGAAGAAGCCATCGTAGCTAAAGTAGACTCATCCCATCTACGATCCTGAATTCGCAGAACGCATCGTTCAACCACTGCAAAAAGTAGATATTTTTATTAACTCTGAGAAAATCGAAGCTATCGTAGACTCTGGAACGCAGATAACGATCGTACATTCATCGCTCATTCCAAATTTAGAGGAGAAGAGAAGGAGGTAAAATATTGCTAACACCTGCTTTCGGACAACCAATTGAAGCAAAAGTTTGCCGTGTACCTATTTACCATAAAGATCATGGAAGCAATATATTTAATTTTGTGGATACATTAATTGCAGTGACTGATAAGCTAAATGTGCCTTGCCTAATAACTCCAGAAATATACGAACTGTTGATTAATCCTGCCGAACCAAACGCAGAAAGAAATAGAAATAATTACGGAAGCGAAAACTTACAAACTTTTTTCGCCAATGCACAGTCAAACGACAGCGTCGATTCCCCCCCCCCCGCTAATGCTTATGGAGGAGAAAAACGAAGAGGAGGAAGGGAAGAAGGCGAGTGTTTATGTAAACACAGACTTATCGTCTGCTGAACGCCTACGCGAAGAGCAAGTTAACTGTCCCTCGCTGAGAGAAGCATGGAAGCTAGCAATAAAAAAAAGGAAATTATTTATTTATTGATCATCTTTTACATCACCAAGAAAAAATATTAGGACAGAATGTTTTTCAGTTAGTGCTTCCACTTAGTAGAAGAGCACAAGTGTTGGAATTAGCACATGGTTCCATTTTCAGTGCACATCTTGGAATAAGAAAAACAAAGGAAGCGAATACGATATTTCATTTTTTATTGGCCTGGATTAGCACAAGATGTTGAAACCTTTTTTGTAAAACGTGCAAAGATTGTCAGTTGAAAAGTCCAGAAAAGCGATCTGACAAGATTTCCCATCACACCGGTCAGAAGGCCAGGATTACCTTTCGAAACAGTTAACATTCGACATTATTGGACCTATTGAACCTCCCTCTGCTAGGAAACATAAATATGTGTTATGTCTGGTAGATCAACATTCCCGATGGCCAGAAGCCATTCCACTGAGAAGCTTGACAGCAAAAGCCACTTGCGACGCGCTTTTGGAGATTTTCATGAGAACAGGAATCCCTAATACAATAGCTAGTGACAACGGAAGTAACTTCGTTTCAAAATTAACTAAAGAATTCCAGAAAAGACTAGGTTTTCACCCTAGGTTCTCTACACCTGCTTACATTGCTTCAAATGGATTAGTAGAAAGATGGAACAAGTCCTTCAAGCAAATGTTACATCATGTCATCAGGACTGATCCTTCGAATTGGGATAAGCACATCCCATACCTGCTCTTTGCATACAGAGAAGTACCAAACTGCGCCACGGGTGTCTCACCATTTCAGCTGATGTATGGAAGACAACCAAGAGGTCCTTTAGCAGTACTGAAGTCTTCATGGTCAGGAGAAATACCTATACCACCTAATCTAAGTGAATCGGCAGTGGATTACTTACAACTTTTAAAATAAGGTTAGAACAAGCAGCCGAACAAGCCAATTTAATTGCAAGTGATAAACAACAAAAATATGCTGAGTACTTTAATCGGAGATCAATACCAAAAAAATTTCAAAATCGGAGAACAAGTTTATTTACTCATACCAGATTCAAATAACAAACTCTATGCACGATGGACTGGTCCAGGAGAAATCGTGAATCATTGCCCACCTCATTC